ACTATCTAGGGTAGGGACAGTGCAGCGGCCGCCCAGCGCAGCGATGAGCGCGGGAGAGAACCACACCAGACCAGACCAGGCAGCAGCAAGAAGAAGCTGGCAGCGGCGGCAGGTTAGGGGTTAGGGGGCGCAAATTACTTGCCTTGCCCCGGGTGCTGACAACCCACGCTACGCCGCTGAAGCCAAGAGCTCCACTGTGGGCAGATCTTACTAATTGGTTGCTGCGGAAGGCACAGCTGTGATGCTGCCGTTTCCCACAACAAACACACAAAGCAGGAGAGCGGCATCTGCAGGTGCACGCACATGGGGAACCTGATTGGGCCAGGAGCCTCAGGTGCACGCACACAGGTGTGCACAATATGTACATCCGCACATTTATTACTTCCACACTTTGCACATTTGCTGCAGGGAATGCCAGATAGTTTGTCATGACAGTATAACGCTATACGGTAAGGCTGAGCACACACTATGCATTGAAAGCGAATTCGAAGCTCATTCTCTCCCTGAAATAATTCTGGGCATTGTCGTGTGTTAAGTGGTGCTGGGAATTGTAACTCTGTGAACAGTAAACCACAGTGCCCAGAATTCTTTGAGGGAAAGAATGCACTTTGCATGTACTTTAAAGGTATAGGATAAAGGCAAAGGCAAAGGACCCCTGGACAGTTAAGTCCAGTCAAAGGTGCCTATGGGATTGCGACGCTCATCTCGCCTTCAGGCCGAAGGAGCTGGTGTTTGTCCACAGACAGCTTTCCGGGTCATGTGGCCAGCATGACTAAACCACTTCTGGCGCAACGGAACACCGTGACAGAAACCAGAGCTCATGGAAACGCCGTTTACCTCCCTGCCACAGCAGTACCTATTTATCTACTTGCACTGGTATGCTTTCAAACTGCTAGGTTGGCAGGAGCTGGGACAGAGCAACGGGAGCTCACCCCATTCTGCAGATTCGAACCGCCAACCTTCTGATCGGCAAGCCCAAGAGGCTCAGTGGTTTATACCACAGTGCCACCCACACTCCTACTTTAAAGTTATAGTGTGTAAGCAGCCTAAGACTAGTGAAATTCCCCAGGAGGTGGTGTGTGTTTCACGTTCTCATGTTGCAATGATGGTTTGCCCAAAGTGAAATTCAAGGTGAACGTGGAGGTTCAGACTGTAACAAAACATCCGAGCAAAGTTTTGTTCAGACTAGTTGAATTGTTTGAGAGGTTTCACACATCGTTGTCTAAGCATGCATAAAAATAAGTTGGGAATGAGATGGTAGAGATCTGAGTGGGGGGTACAGCAGCCTTCGGGTGGGGAGATAGGTTTAACAGAAAGACCTTGCAAATTGAAAAAAACAAAGACAACTAGAAGTGATCTGGGTTAGGAGCTTTCTCTCCAGTGTGTTTACTTTCAGGCATGGTTTTTTGTTTGCATGGAGGGGCATTCAACAATAGGCATTCCCCGCCAGCAGTGTGGATCCACACCGCCCTGCAGTACTGCACCCGGTGCTGACAAGATCTCTGTACTGTTTGCTTAAAAGCCATGCATTGCTTTGCTTTCCGCCTGCTTCAGTGGGAACCCTAGTGTTTCAGTCGCACTGTGTTTAAATGGGGGAAAAAACAAACCTTCATTTTCTTGGGGAGTGAAGAGGCTGAGGGAACCACGCTAAGCAGAGACTGACAAAGGTTAATGAAGGAATCTGCCAGTTAAAAGATAGAAGTGTAGCAGAGCAGGTTCGGGGGGTTTACTGCGGATTTGTTTTCTGTACACTGACATTATCCGCGGCGGGAACAACCTGATGCATTCAACCGAGGGCTTGCGTATTTTGTTTGCTGCAACTTGACGATCTCCAGCATTCCAAAGTCTCATTTGAATGGTTGGAAATGTAGTGGAAATCATTTTCAAAGCTTATTGACACGTCAATGATTTGAATAACATCAATTAATTGATTCATGTTTTCAGCTCTGCTTTATCCCTTTGCTACTTTGCGTACTCGAGTGATAACCCTCCCTTGTGTAGGCAGGGAACACGCTGATAGATCTTATTACTAGATGCTCTCATGCCCTTCTAATTAGAAAACTCTTTGATCCAAGCCTGTGTAGGTGGACATCTTTTCAAACAAAGCCTCTCTACAACATCTCGCGTCCCACTCTTTTCTTCTTCTTCTTCTTCTTCTGTGCTCTTTTTGATGCTTCTCTCTCTTGATTGCTATATAGCAGGGACGTCCAACTTCCTAGAGACTGCAATCTACTCACACAATTAAAATCTGACAGTGATCTAACCCTTTTTTGCAGGGGGGGGTTTCAGGTCAAAGTTGTAGAGCTTTTTTGGGGGAGGATTTTTTAGTTAATTTAGGGGATTAGGTCTACTAAATTAAAAAACACGCTCACCAATTGAAGCAGGGCCCACTTTTCTCTGTTCCAATTCCTGCCGACCCTAGGAGAAGAAGAAATCTATGCAAATGTATTCAGCGTTTGCATAAGTTATTCAAGCTGGAGAGTTTCCACAGAGCACGACAACTTCAGGTCCTTCTTGGTAGTGGCGCCTAACCTGTGGAGCACCCTCCCATCAGATGTCAATGAGATAAATAAGTATACAACTTTTAGAAGACCTCAGAAGGAAGGAAGCCCTGTATAAGGAAGTTTTTGACGTTTGTTGCTTAGTTATGCTTTAATAATAATAATAATACCACCTCATGTACAACCTGTGTACAATGAAATTAACTGAGCCTCCCACCCCCTCCCCACAAACACTCAATCTCATTGCACTCTGTGTGCTTGTTGTACAACACACCAACCTCAATAGTCAGTTGCACTATATTATTTTCCATTCAGCAGCCTAACAGCCTACGGATAGAAACTGTTTTTTAGCCTGTTGGTACGACTGATTATACTTCTATATCTCCTGCCTGAGGGTAGAAGATTAAAGAGGTGCTGGCCGGGGTGTGAATCGTCCCTGAGAATTTTTCTCACTCTCCGAAGGCAAAGATCCCTTGCGATGTCATCTAGCGGGCTCAGGGGACAGCCCCTGATATCATGTGCTGTGTTCACCACCCTCTGTCCTTTCTGTCTATGGCTGTCAAGCCAACGTACCACACTGTGATACAAGATGAGAGGACACTTTCTATTGTGGACCGGTAGAAGGAGGTCATCAATTGTTGTTTAACATTGTTCTTTCGCAAGACCCTGAGAAAATGGAGTCTCTGCTGGGCCTTCCTAACCACCTGAGTTATATTGTTATATTTGTTGGAAGCCGCCTAAAGTGGATGGGGCAACCCACTCGGGTGGGGTACAAATACAGTGGTACCTCGGGTTACATACGCTTCAGGTTACATACGCTTCAGGTTACAGACTCCGCTAACCCAGAAATATTACCTCGGGTTAAGAACTTTGCTTCAGGATGAGAACAGAAATCGTGCTCTGGCGGAGTGGCGGCAGCAGGAGGCCCCATTAGCTAAAGTGGTGCTTCAGGTTAAGAACAGTTTCAGGTTAAGAACGGACCTCCGGAACGAATTAAGTACTTAACCCGAGGTACCACTGTAATAAAATGATGGTGATGATTTGGCAAAAGCTGACATCTATTTGCGCTGCAAATCCCATGCAAACACCCCTGGAACTTAACTTCTGAGTAACAGGATTGTACTGTTGGTATGAGGCTCCAATTCGTCTTCTGCATCGCCTTGCCATATTGTCCTGTAATGCAGCAGTACAACAGAAGGTTGGGAGGAGAGCAGAGTGTCTGCCTTCCTCATTTTTTCCCTGGGTTCTCCATTCCAAAGGAACACCCTGCCAGTAACGCGAGGATGGCAATGTCGGGTGAAGTGGAACGGAGCCATATTGAACGCCTTTCATATACAAATGTATTTCAGAGAGTGTCGCAAAAAATAATTGAAAAACGCCAATAACAATTGACGAGGAACCGCATAACTGGCTGCGGAGGGTGGAAATGAAAGCGCGGGAACCCCATAAAAGACTAGAAGCAGATTGTTAATCTCTCGCTGTGGGAATGGAGATGGTGAGGAATATGCTGACTCCTGCAGGAGGGGATGACCTTGCCCTGACACCAGAGGGAATCCAAGGAATCAGTTTCTCCCCTCTCGTTTGGATAAGCTTTTTGCTAGAGTTGAGAGAGAGGGGGTTGTTATTTTCTTCTTCTTCTTCTTCTTCTTCTTCTTCTTCTTCTTCTTCTTCTTCTTCTTCTGCAGTTGGAGCTTATTTTTAAGAATGATGCATAATTTGGACTTGGACGCAGCTCAAGCAATCAAGATAGCAACATTTAGACTAGATTGATGTTTGCAGCAGAGGCCGTTTGAAAAATGAATGGCGTTTGCTCAATCAAATACGCAGGACTATTGTGGCAGTTTGGGTGATGACCCCAATGCCCTGATTTTAAATGCCCCCCTCCAATTTAATATGAGTGAAGCATTGCCAGTTAGCACTCCCCCCTTGATTGTATGGTGCCTCCCTGCACCTGTAACACTGTTCACCAGTGACCCATATGCGCACTGGATGCATGAGGGAACGGGATTAGGCAAGATCTTGCATGGCGTTCCAGGCTTGCAAATTTTACTAATTGCTATTAGCTAGACTTCCAAAGTAGGAACACGGGTGGTGCTGTGGTCTAAACCACAGAGCCTAGGGCTTGCCGATCAGAAGGTTGGCGGTTCGAATCCCCGCGACGGGGTGAGCTCCCGTTGCTCGGTCCCTGCTCCTGCCAACCTAGCAGTTCGAAAGACGTCAAAAGTGCAAGTAGATAAATAGGTACCGCTCCAGCGGGAAGGTAAACGGCGTTTCCATGCGCTGCTCTGGTTCGCTAGAAATGGCTTAGTCATGCTGGCCACATGACCCGGAAGCTGTACGCCGGCTCCCTCGGCCAATAAAGCGAGATGAGCGCCGCAACCCCAGAGTCACCCACAACTGGACATAACGGTCAGGGGTCCCTTTACCTTTACCTGGACTTCCAAAAGGGCCAGAGAGGGAGCTAGTTTAGTATGGGGGACCTGTGGGCTGTTGGATGCTGCTGGACTAGCTCAGTTGGTAAAGAGCATGGGACTCTTTATCTCAGGGTTGCAGGTTCAAGCCCCACGTTGGGCAAAATATTCCTGCATTGCAGAGGGTTGGGCTAGATGACTCTCTTCCAACTCTATGATTCTATGGCTACAAGTTGGACCATCCCTGATGACTGGTTATTCTGACTGGTGCTGATGGGAGTCTTAGAATCCCAGAACTTTGCAGGAATCACAGCTAAAGCATCTGTGACTGATGGCTGTCCAACATCTCTTTAAAAACCGCAGAGGAAGGCGAGACCACCACCTTCTGAGGGTGTCCATTCCTCTTACCATCAAAAAGTTCTTTCTGATGTTTAGTCAGAATCTCCTTTCTTGGCACTTGAACCCTACTCTCTGGAAGAACCAGGTCGTTCACCATACCTAGTGCAGTGGCTGGGTGCTACAAACTCCAGTTCAACCGTCCAGTCCAACTGTGGGGCAAAGCACTTGCTGCCATACCTTAGAGCAGCCTTTCTCAACCTGTGGGTTCCCAGATGTTGTTGAACTACAACTCCCAGCACCCCTAGCTAGCAAGGCCAGAGCTCAGGGATGATGGGAGTTGTAGTCCAACAACATCTGGGACCCACAGGTTGAGAACCGCTGCCTTAGAGGGTTGTCATATCAAAAGTGCTGTGGAAATGGTGGTGGTGGTGATTGGTCTGTGTAGTTCAGTAACAAAGCAAGGTGGCGGTTACATCAGAGACGTCAGCGAAACCCCAGTTTTTATTCAGGGTGGTGGTGGGTGAGGGCACCCAGGGTGTGGAAAGGATCCCGGCAAGACACGTCCTCATCACTGCAGGAGATTTTTCATTTCCTGGCTGCCTCTGCAGCCGGCATCTCTGATCAGGCATCTAAACTGCCAATGAAATATTCATGTCTGGCCCAAGTTTGTGGCATTTAATAATTTAGGAAGCGGTATAAGCGGTGGCTCTTTCCCCCACTTTTCCCAAGGAAGGGGAGGGAGGGGGGAGTGTCTGGCCGGCAGCGCAAGAAGAAGAGCGTGTGGTTGTTCGCGTCCGAAAGAAAGACTGGGGCACGTTGCCAGGCTGTGTGGCTTCTGGGCAGTTCAAGGAAGCAAAACAGAATTAATAGAAGTCTCTGCCCTGTCCGTGAATCCCATTGACGCCTTTGTTTCTCTTTCATTCACGGATGAGCTAAACTTATAGATGGATTCATATTGCTATGCCAACAACAGCTTTTGCTATGGGGAAAGCAAAAGAAAGATTGTAAAGCACTTTTGCAAAACAAGCAGACTGACGTGATGCATGTTTATTTAAAAGTGGGGCTGCTGGACTAAATATTCACTTTCGATTCTGAGGTTCAAAATAGCAATTCTTACTGGGTGAAAATGTTCAGCTTTTTACTTTAAATAGGTACTGCTGCTCCTGCCCCATTCATTCCCCCTCCCCTTCTTCATTTTTTTTCAATGTGTGGGTGTGCCAACCAATGTTTATATGGTGAATAGGATAATGTCATAACCCCCTACAGCCAATCAGAACTGGTCATTTGTTTACTTTATTCATTGCATAAAATGTATGCACCACTTGATTGTAAAAACCCTCCACGAAAAAACCTCAATGCAGTTTGCAAAGAGAATGAAACAGCAAAAAGGAAAACCTGCCAGTACTTTTGTATGAATTTCACCCAATATGCACATCCCCCCCCCATGCAATTTCGGCTTAATTTACACATTTTTGCAAAGCAGTTTTCCCAAATATAATATTACCTATTTCATGAAATTTATATACTGCTTGATTATACAAAAACAAACCTCAAAGCGATTTACAAAAAAAACAACAAATCAATAAATTTTTCAGTAAAAATAGAGGTCGCTATATAACACACTATTTGCATGCTATTTTCACTTATATGCATTTATAGGCACACTTGTATGTGCATTTTTGTATGCATTACTTGGGTGGAGAACTGCTCAGCAAAATTCAGAGAGGTGTGACTTTTGAAGGATGGCTGCATGCTTGGTTTGTATATTTATTTATTTTTTGCAAGTGTGTGTTAGGTAGGTTGGCCTTTAAGTGGAAGCTGAATCAAGTTTCTCTCTCACGCCTAACTTTGCATCCTCTGTTTTTGTTGTTTTCAAAAAGCTGCTTTCTGTGACTTTTATGAGTCGTGAAAAGTGAAAACACATTCTGCACAGTTTATCCTGCAACGTTGACCCTTTTGCATAATTCATTTTCCTTGGGGTAGTCACGCGGAGCGGCAAGTAATTGAACGGAGCACTGAAGTCTCACATCTCAGATCTTAGCCTCCGCTGTGCCTTCTGTGATTTCACCAGGCGTGGCCCACACCCTTTGAAGCATATCTTTGCAACCATGAGGTCTAGAAACTTGGGGTCTCTAAGATTTTCAGGAAGCTGTAGTCTGCACTCAGTGACACATTTTGCAGCTTTTCTATACTCCTGTATTACCATGGCATACACACAGCCTCAGAAGTAACCCATCCTATATTTCAGCCATGAAAGTCATAGGATTTCCCTTTCAAGTGCATATTGATTTCTGATACATAATTAGGCTGGAGGCTAGATCTGTGTTAAACTGAAAATTCTCTCCCTCTCCCTCTCCCTCTCTCTCTCTTGTAGAAGGTGATAACTCTTCTCTCTCCCAGGAAGAATTGTTTGATCATATCTGCCACTCTCCCTTTGAGCCTCAAACACTCGTCTTTCTCCCTTCCGGCCACTTTTGAACTTACCTTCTGCACTTTGTCTTTTATTCAGATGCCCAAAGAGAGAGAGAGAGAGGTTGCCAGCTTTGGGGCATGATGGATATTTCCCTTTGGAATATTTAGTGTTCGCAGAAGAGGGGGTGATTGATTTCGTCCGGTCACTTAATTGAAGCAAAATGAATAGAGAATTTGCAATAAATGAAGCCATTATTCACATGGGTCGAAGCCCAGCGAGTCACAGCTGGAAGACTCGCCAGTACCTGTCTACAGTACTTCAGGTTCAGAAAAGGGCAGCGAAAACAATCAAGGGGATGGAACGATTCTACTATGAAGAAAAGTTGCCAGGTTTGGGACTTCCTAGTTTGGAGCTCCTCCATATGCAGCTGCTGGGTGACCTTGGGCCAGTCACACTTCTCTGAAGTCTCTCAGCCTCACTGACCTAAAAAATTGTCCTAAAAAAGTCTTTAAAAGAAGAGTTTTAGCGGCGTGCGCAGTTTGATCCATCTTTTGATTTAGGGGAACTAGTCTCAAACGTTTGTTGGGGGAGACCTAGGTTTTTTTAGGGGGGGAGTTATTTGTCCTGTCTTCACGCTTTTTATGATGGAGGACCGCTGTAGCCACCCCCAACGACACGTTCTCAAGATGGAGGGTGAGGGAACAGCTGCAGTCGCCTGCGGTTCCTGCGCAATGTTTGCCATCTTGCCAAACGTTGCAGGCAGCTTTACCTGCAGCAATTGCATGATGATTGCCCTCTTAGAAGACAAAGTCCAGCAACTGGAGGAACGTGTAGCTACGCTCCAAAGAATTAGAGAGCTGGAGCTCTTCTTGGAAGCAACAGAGCACACCGTCTCCACCAAGGAAGAGACAGGGGACTCCCCTGAGAAGGGAGGCTAGTTCACCAACACAGGAGCCAGATATATGGTGAAACATGACTCAAAGAAGTAGGAGGCCCAGGGTTCGCTCTGATTGTTTAGAAATACACAATCGCTTTGAGGTCCTCTCCCCTAGCATGGAAGACGAAGAGCAGACTCCATTTGAGGACCTCTCCCTCATTACAGTCGATCAGGTATATGAAGACGAGCAGCAAAGTCAGTCCTCAGGGAATGTGCAGGCGACCTTGGAATGGACAGCTCACGGAAGAACCCCGACCAAACCTAAGAGGAGGCGTGTAGTGGTGATAGGAGATTCCCTACTGAGGGGAACAGAAGCAGTGATCTGTGGGCCTGACAAGATGTCTCGGGAAGTGTGCTAACTCCCCGGGGCTAAGATCCAAGATGTAACTGAACGACTGCAAGGAATCATAAAACCCACTGACAAATACCCCTTCCTCTTGGTTCATGTGGGAACCAATGACACTGCAAGCAATAGCCTCCAGAAGATCAAAAGAGACTACGAGGCTCTGGGCAGGAAATTGAAGCAATTAAATGCACAAATTGTCATCTCATCTGTCCTCCCAGTTGAACGACGTGGCCCAGGGAGAGAGGGAGAAATAGTGGAAGTGAACAGCTGGCTTCGCAAATGGTGTAAACAGGAACGGTTTGGATTCTTAAATCACGGACTGCAGTTTCTTGAAGATGGACTTCTGGCAAGCGATGGGCTGCACCTCACAACGGTTGGGAGGAATGTTTTTGCCAAAAATCTCAGAAACCTCATCAGGAGGGCTTTAAACTGACTAATGTGGGGAGGGAGACAGTGCTCCTGAAGGTAGGAGTCTATCAATTGATGAAGATGATCATCCAAATGTCATAGACCAAATGGAGCAAACAGCACGCAGACCTAGTGGTGGGAGGAAAAATCCTTAAATAAGAGACACGGGGAATGATTAATGGACTTCAATGTCTGTACACTAATGCGCAAAGCATGGGAAATAAACAAGATGAGCTTGAGCTCTTGGTACAGCAAACTAAATATGACATAATAGGCATCACTGAAACCTGGTGGGATAAGTCCCACGATTGGAATGTAATAATGGAGGGATACAATCTATTTCAGAGAAACAGACCAGACAAGAAAGGAGGAGGAGTGGCGTTATATGTCAGGGATGTGTATACCTGTGAAGAGATCCAAGATTTAGAACCTCAAAGCCAAAGTGAGAGCATTTGGGTCAAAATTAAGGGAGAGAAGAATAACAGTGACCTCATTGTGGGAGTTTACTATAGCTCCCCAAGCCAAACGGAGGACATAGATGATGCCTTCCTGGAACAGATGGCCAAGCATGCAAAAGGAAGGGAGATAGTAGTAATTGGGGACTTCAATTACCCGGATATTTGTTGGATGTCAAACTCAGCCAAGAGCATAAGGTCAAACAGATTCCTCACTGGCCTTGCAGACAACTTCGTTGTCCAGAAAGTGGGAGAAGCAACAAGA